GGGCGGAGCCGGCAGAGGTAAGACGCCGAAATAAGAATTGTTTTGGGTTCGCAGGGGGCCTCTTGGGGGCCTCTTGGGGCTTATTATGGGCGTCTTTGGGGCCTCTTATGGGCTTCTAGGAGCCTTCGGGGGGTCTCTTGGGGCGGAAAGATCGGATGTTCGGTTCGTGTTATCCCTATTGGCCTCTCTTGGGGCCTTCTTGGGGCATTCTTTGAATCTTTGGCCGTCTTGGGCCCCTCTTTGGGCATTGGAGCTGGGCAGACAGAGATGAACAGGTCAATTTCGGCTTGCTTGAAGTCGGATGCCCTTTTGGGACTGACCAGGCACCCCTGTCCTCTCCCCCATGCAAGCAAAGCTGTCGGAGTCCAAAGGAAAGCGGTGCCTCGGCCTACCATCTTCGGCGATCGACGGCTTCATCCATGCTCCCACTGTTGCCCCGGGCTCCAGAGGCAATGCCGTCTCTCGGGCTCCTCCTAGGACTGGGGCGTGAGCAGGGGTACGCGCCAGTCGTTGAAAGTAGGTATTTTGGGATTCCCAGATCCCAATCTACTTGATGCGCCTTCCTATTTCAAGAATGACTATTTTCGGATGTTCTTGGGGGGCGGGCGCAAACCTAATCAACTTCTAGAGCTTGGTTGTTGTTTCCTTGGATGGCGTTGATTGTTTCTGGTGGTTTTCGTTTGCCCGTCGGTTGTTTTTGCTTGCCTGGCTAGTTTTGGTTGTCTTGGTTTGTTTTTGCCTGTCCGTCGGTTGCCCCGGGCTCGTCGGCCGCCCCTCGGTCGCTCGGCCCTCGGCTGGCCCCATTCCCTGGCTGGTTTTGGCTGTTTTTGCTTATTTTCGTTTGTCCCGAGGCTGCACTGGTCGCTCCCGGCTCGCCCGCCGCCCTTTCTGTCCTCGGTTTGAAACGGGTAGCGCGCCGTCGCGCACGCGCGCGAGCTCTCTGCGGCACGCCTCGAGCCGGAGCGACCTCGGATCTCAGGGAGCGGGGACTTGTTGCCCCCCTCCCTGTGGCGCGAGGCCGAGCCCGGCCTGGACCACGTCGGGCGCGCCACCGTTTCTTCGGGCCCCTTCTCTGGCATCTCCACCGCCTCCGCGAGGTATGGTTTGTGGCATGCTCCTCTTGCCGCTGCAAGGCGCTTGTCGCCCAGGAGGTCATCCATTGGCTCTGGATCGCTTCGGGCGTGCCACCGTTTCTTCTGGCCCCTTCTCGGCGTCTCCACAGCCTCCACGAGGCATTCGTGTGGCATGTTCCTCTTGCCGCTGCAGGAGCGTTTGTCGCCCCAGAGGTTACTGGTCAGTGTCGGTGTTGTTGTTGTTGCTGGATGGGGCGGCGGCGCGCCCCCCTCGGGGGGGGGGGAAGCGAGAAGGAGAAGGCCTTCGCAGGAGGCCCAGAAGCCTCCACGCCAGCTCTGCAAGCCTTCCCTTACGTCGGGCCCGTGTTCAAACGTAGTCAAAACATAGCCTGGGGGCTGTTTTGTTTTTTAGTATGGTTTGACTTTGTTTGAGCATGTTTTGACCATTTGAGTTTTTTTTTTATAGAAATTCGGCCTGTAGGGGGACAGGCCAGACCTGAGCCTTCCCCGAAGACGCAGGAAACGCTCAGAGGGCGCGAGGGCTTCTCTGCGAAGCCCCCGCTGCCCTCTGAGGAGGCCTTCGCCTCGTTATTTTTCTCCCCTCCGCTCGCCGCCGAGTGGAGAGTCAGGCCTCGGAACAAAAATAGCGAACACTCATGCCACATTCCTCTGGGAACGCCTCCCCCCCCCACCCTGACTCCAGATCCGCCCCACTTTGGCTTTTTTTTGCACCTCAAAACTGCGTCGGAAACCCACCTATAAGAAGCCGAACAAGTATAGGGCGGAGATCTCTGCACCCAGCATCAAATGGGGCGAAAATCCACAGAAGTAGGGCGGAAACAACAACAGAAAAGTAGGGCGGAAATTGGCATCAGCGGGGCTTGAAAAGTAAGGAGGAAATTCTAAGCCCTACTTACGAATTTCCCCAAAGTAGGGCGGATCCGGAGGCAGGGCAATGTTCAAGGTTGGCGGTGGCCTGATGAGTTGCATTTCGACCGCAGTCTCCCCCGCGCGTGCCAACTTTGAGTTTGGGGGGCAAGAAACACACAGACACTATCCATCGTCGATCCCTGAGAAAAAAGGGGGAAAAGGTGGGAAGTGTGGGGGGGAAGACCTAGACCCAGAAAGAATAGATGGGAAAAGGAGGGGGCACCCGATGCATTTGCGTGTGTATCTAGCTGCGTGCCCCAGGGCCCCTTCCTTTGAGCTTGGGGCGCAGAGGGGGGGGGCCCACTGCTTGCTGCCCTCTGCCCTCGGAGGGGGGCCGCGGCCGAGCCCCTCGGGCGAGCGTGGCCTCCGCTCGCCCCCCGAGGGCTCCGCGGCCCGGGCGCCGCCGCCGCAGGCAGGCAGACAGCAGGCTCCTCCTCCTCCTCCTCGTCGCTCTCCTCCTCCTCCTCCTCCTCCTCCTCCTCCTCCTCGTCGACCTCCTCCTCCTCCTCCTCCTCCTCGTCGCC